GATTCTTCAATTTCCTTAACATAAAACTCAAAGGCCCTTCTTGATCTCATTCTCTGATCTCAGCTCCTGCTCAGATGATTAGAATCTACACCTACTTTAGCCTCATTTTGTTTATCACTGTCTTTTATCGAACATTTTGTATTCCTGACAATGGTAAATCTATTATCTGATTCTCTTGCATATTAACAACATACATCTGACAGTTAAAAAAATCTAAGTCGCAAGAGTAATGTTGGTTGTGTTAAAATCATGTGTCAGTCACTTTGACTGGGCCACAGTTCTCAGGGATTTGGCTGCCACATAGCAATGGAATTTGACAAATTATGTTCTATATCTAATGATGTAATTTGGCAACTATATAATGAAGTCATCTCTTATGTTTGGTGATCTGCTGTGATCATCCTCCATTTCCCATAATGCCAATTTTCACATAATGACCTCATCTTTGCAACGGAGCTATGCCAATAAGTGAGGAGTGAGTGTACTTTCCATCAAAATTCCATGCCAAAGGATAGTTTCTAACAAAGCATACTCAATTCATTCAGTTTTAGGTTCCCCCTCCAATCACACATAATAAAAGGAATAATGGTCCTACATTTTGGCTGCAAATATTTCCATAAACAGAGCATGCCCTTTAAAGTAGTTCAGATTATACGTGAGCCAAAATTCAAAAGTAAACATGGTAAGGGGCAGTACAATCAATGGAGTTGTATCTCGGAACCATTGGCCAAAGAAAATGTACACAAAAGAATTATATCATTTTCCCCTTCTTCTGATCACTCTATTCTACTTTGTTTAGATTGTTGAGTCCATGTGACTCCATCTTATAACGTTTAATTTATGACTACTACTACTTAGTAGTTTCTAAATATGAACTCTTATTTGAGTACTTTAGAAAGACAGAACACATGCAAGGGTGATAGCCAGGGTGAATCCAATCTTTCAGTCAAAGCCAACAAAACAAGCAAAAATAGGACATAGCAGAACTTATAAAAAATGTGACTGCTTGGAACGATAACTGAAACTGGGAAATCCATGAGGTAAAGCCCTGGAAAAGGAGACTCAGAAGAGGCAAAATGCGCCTTTCAGGTGCCTGGTTAGGTGTTAGCCAAGACTGTGGAGAGTGACATATATTCAAAGGAGCCTCGTTAGCTGCTATTTTTGAGCAGGGTACCCATGGTTTCCAAATCAACTACCGGTCAAGAGATTTGGTTGCTACGCAACGTGCTTGCTGCACTTGTTTCTCTAAGTTTGAGATTACATTTCTAGTAGGACCAGTACCTTTCTCATTCCATGAGCAGGCTCTCATAGTTTGCAAAATCTGTGTGCTCCTTGTTTTACTGTGTCATCCATGAGTTGACCCAGGCGGAACTGGTTTGCAGCCCTGCTTTCAACTGATTATGAGTATATTGTTTTCCTCCTTGCAGTGCCCCTCTGTTTTCTTGTCATTGAAATTTCTTGTCTTTAAATAATAACTGTGCACATCACTTGCTGATTGGAGGAGTGTCATCTTGATTTCAAGAGCCTAAGAGACTGACAATAGCCTGGAGCAATATGCTGGGAATAGTGCCTTCGTGACCACCTTGGTCTTTTCCTTCCTTCCTGCCAAACAAGGGTGTTACTTTACCAGTCTGCAGTCTTAAAAATTGGCACAATGCCATCAAATTCAGAATAGGTGGCATTGAGGTTATACTAGGAAATATTTTATTGTAAGTCATTATAGCAATTGTGTTGAAATGATTATTTCTTAATAGCCACATTTCATTATGATTAAGAATGAATTTAAGCTTGAACCCATAATTAGAGAATAGTCAAACAAACTCATTACTTTGAGTCTGTAGTTTTATGGTACAGGATAATTGTCTTCAAAATGAAATCAAACTTAATTTTTTTCAGACTGTAAACTTAAAACAGTTAGAATGATGTAATAGAGTCTAAAAGAGGAAAGGTAAAATCACAATCTCTCTTCCCGGTGATAGTTGTTGTTAATACTTAGTGTATTGCTTACTAGATTTTTTCCTCTGCCTTTTTATATAAATCCAAACCTAATGAAAAGTTAAATCATGCATTATTTAATAACCTCCTTTACACTCAGCAATGTATTATGAACATTTTTCCATGACAACCAGCATGGATCCAAAGAACTCTTTTTATTAGCTAGAAAATAAATGATAAAAATATTTTAACTATAAATATACTAGTTGACAAATGAATCTAGCCTTCCCTTTTTATTTTTAAATCATTTTATTTGGAGGTTCATACAACTCTTATCACAATCCATCCATTGTGTCAAGCACATTTGTACATTTGTTGCCATCATTACTCTCAAAACATTTTCTTTCTACTTGAGCCCTTGGTATCAGCTCCTCATTTTGTCCCCTCCCTCCCCGCCACCCCTCCCTCACGAACCCTTGATAACTTATAAATTATTATTTTGTCATGTCTTACACTGTCTGGCATCTCCTTTTACTCACTTTTCTGTTGTCTGTCCGCCAGGGAAGGGGTTATATGTAGATCCTTGTGATCAGTTCCCCCTTTCTACTCCACCTTCCTTCCACCCTCCCAGTATCGCCACTCTCACCACTGATCCTGAAGGGATCATCCATCCTGGATTCCCTGTGTTTCCAGTTCCTATCTGTATGAGTGTACATCCTC